TATGAAAATTTACTTCCATGCTAGTTTATATTCATTTGTTGTCTTCTGATCTTTCAATGAGTGAAACATCTTCTCCGTTCTGAGCCTCTCGATGGGGCCTCAGCACTGTCCCTGCTCTACTAGATGGGCATGTCAACTCTCTCGGCATCTGGTATCATTTTGCTTAGCTTTAACCAGATGACCAGTTTCGCTTATATGCTGATATTTGCGGGGAATACAGGAAACATGCCGAACTGCAAATTGAAAAGGTGAAATAAAAACAATCTGCCCAGAGCAAATCCTGAATGTGAATGTCTGTAGAAGCTTTCTTCATAACCATCACATGTAAAAGCAATGAAAACTCTGCACACGGATGTTTATACCAGCTTTTTACATAATCTCCAAGACTTGACGTGACACAGATGTCCTCCAGTAGGCTGTACATTGTACACTGGGAACTTAGCCAGCTTTAAAACAAATGACCTCTGACGTCACAGTAACATACACCAATTGTAAATACATATTTCTCCAGAAAGGAGAACATTTAAAGTGCTGCATAACACAATTGTAATTGGATTACATTTTAGAAAAGGCACGACTCTAGAGTGTTTGAAGGTCAGTGATCACAGGAGGCGGAGGAAGGAGCAGGAGGGTGAATGTGTGAAGCACGGCATTGCATTTATGGTGGTGACACTCTCGTACGGGACACCGTGATGGCAGCCACACCGTACTGCTGTGTTGTCACAGATCACTATACTCTGCAGCACAATAACAGCACCTTAGGGCATGCATGTAAAGTCATCTAGGAAGTCTGGGGTCTCTAATAGGGTGCACAGTGTGACATCATCCAATCTACTGCTACAAGGGCATGAACCTGCTTCGCTGAAGGGGCGGGGCGAAAGGGTGCTGACCTGAGGGACTTTGAAAAGGAGGGGAGCCTGTATGTTCAGAGACAAAAGAAACCACATGTAAGGCCCATACTCCAGTTGAGGGAGTTGTATCCCATGGGCTGAGTGGTCAATAATCGTGATGTGTCTGGGCTGTGCACTGGAATTGAACAGTCAAAGGTTGCAGATGGTGGGAGGCAGTGTTCTCTCTTCAGGAATGGATGCTAATGTTTTATGGGGGTCTTAGTTTGTCCGTAACCAAAGTGGTGGCCAGACCCACCCTTGTGGTTCGTATTATGCCTACGAGGTATTCTTCAGCTACAGCCATCAGGAATCTTTGAAAAATACGGGTTTATTACTTACAAGACCTGGAAACTACACAGCACACTTGGGGCTACAGACTGAGGTCCCGGGCAGAGAAAGAGAAGAGGAAGTGGGGGTGGGGAGCAGTGACCAGAATGAAGTGCCCCTTCCCCTGGGAGCTGAGGGGGTTGAGAAAGATCCTGTAGGTCTGCCTCCCTGTGGTTGGAGGTCCTGGAGATGTGCAGGTGGGGTGAGAGGTTCTGGTTCTTCAGCCCCACTTCATGATGCCCACTGTCCCAGGCATTTCAGTCTGATCTTGGATGCTCCACGCTCACGGACTCTCATGACCTGTCCCGAACTCACCCTTGAGTCTACAGGTCTGCAAACATCACCACCGATCATATTTTCACTGTCACCGGCCCTCCCTGGGCATCAACCTGGGAAAGACAAACCTGCCCCCGGCTCACCAGAAGGTAGGACATCATTAATACACACATGCCACACGAATGATGAAGGGACTGGGTACCAGAGCCAGCCTGGACTTAGGGACTCATGGGGGATCCTCTCACCCATTCTGTACAGGGGTATGGTACCTTGGGTTCTGTCCCAGGCTCCTGTCCCTCTTACACATCCACGCCTGGATGGAGACTGCTCACCACGCCTGGACACCAGCCTCAGGCATAGTCACTGCTTGCTGCCACCAAGGTCAGGGTCCACCCTTTACGAGCCTGAAATTCACTATTTCTACTTGTTTCCCAGATCTTCAACTAGTTTCTTAATAGAGAACCATCTCCTTATCTAATGCTTGCCTGCAGGCAAAGGAAGCACCATCTGACGGGTCCGTCAGAGCAGGAGCCCCCAGTTCACACTATCCTCTTCCTGCTTCTCTCCCCGAGTTCCTTCTGCCTCACAATCCTGAGCGTCTCCTGTGAGCACAGCCTCCTGTGTCTCCACCTCCTGTTCTCCTGTCTCAGTTGCTCTCCCTGGACCACATAGTTTCTTAGGTCTTGCCCTGCCGTGTCCACCCTCTAACCCCTGGTCCACAACGTCACCAGATGGTTTCTCCACTCTGTGAAGTCACATCCCATCATGGTTAGAGCATCTTCATGCCCTGTTTTGATTTTCCCTTCTGTGAGCTCATGTAGAGAACACAGTCATCCCTTTCTTTCTCCTGAGATGTAGGAAATGACAACACAGATACATGTAATGTGAGAGTAGTTGGAACCCATTGCTTTAATGTACAAGAACTCTGGAACACTGAACATGAAGGTAACGTGCTAAATCTCTCAAAGTTCATACATCAGTGAAAGCCATACTGATGATGGAGTGTTTGGATTTGTTTTATGTTCAGGAAGGGAGGAGGATGAGGGACAAAGTCAGCAAAGTGAGACCTTGTGGTTGGACACGGATGCAGGCTATTCTTTACACTTTTGTTTATTGTTTTTCAACTTGAACAGGGCCATGATCTATATTTATCTATATCTATATCTATATCTATATCTATATCTATATCTATATCTATAATCTACTTATCTATCTATCTATCTATCTATCATCTATCTATCTTTCCATCTCTAGCTTTTTTCTTATGAGGGATGATGTATGCATATCCTGCTATAAAGTTCTACTCAGAGTTGCCAAAATATGTGTTTCATCCATGATGTCAGGTTATCTCGCATCTCCTCCCAACAAGCTGAGGAAGAGGCAGCTTGGAGACCTTGGAGGAGATGGGAATTCAGGATTTTAAGTAATAGGAAAGAAGGGAAGTTGGAGGTAGAGATCAAGGGGTGTGGCTGTTCAGGGAGTGGAGAAGTGGGGGAGCCAGACCATAATGAACACCTTGGGTAGGAAAGACTTTGGGTTTTATGCCAACAGCACTGAAGGACCTGTTTGACTTCGACGAGGAAGATCCCTCTGACTGCCTTGAGACAAACTGTCTTAAGGATGTGGGTGTTTCTGGTCACAGAAATTTACTAAAAAGGGCTTTGAGTCGAGAAGTGTGGGAATCATTTGCACAGTGCAAGTTGAGGTGGATCCATGGTGCAATGAGAAAGTGAGGGTTTATGGAAGCAAATGCTCAGACATTGAACACATCTGAAAAACATTAAAGTCTCACATTTAACCTCTATTAAACTAAGACAATGTGTAATAAAATACAGGTAGGGAATTTTCTTTTAATATAAGGAAATGTTATGACACCAAAACAAACTCCTGACAAGAGATACAGGACACAGATATGCAGAACCTACAAATTTGGGGAATATAAAGTCAACTCCTAAGATTAAAAAGTATGGGACACTCTCCACTGGTAAATGTGAAGCTAACCAAAGCTATTGTATGTATGTATGTATGTATGTATGTATGTATGTATGTATTTATCTACTGATCAATACATCAAATGTAATTATTAGCAACACATTCAATTCAATTTTTTGAGATGTTGGCTGAATTATCCTCTTTGGAATATGCCACTAGGTGAGTGTATTCCTACAAAATTCTCTTTCTATTCCTTTCCTGGGAACAACCTCTACAATTTCTTCCAAGCAGCTCAATTGTCCCCTCTTCTGTGACACCTGACCTGATGCACACCTGGGTCATTCAGCTTTGTCTAGAACATCCTGTAATTAATTATATATGCACATATTTGCACATCCCATGGACCAGGGCTTCTCCTGGAGGGAGAAGTTACAATAATTAAACACAAGGATCAGAATCATGGTACAGGTAAAGTACTGTTTAAGCCACTTACCTTCTAGGACACATTTACATTAGTACCTGTCTTTGCTGCTAAAAGAAATCTGAGGAAGGTTTTCAGTTTTACAAAGGAAGAAGAACCAAAATAGCATCCAGCCTTTGTTTTGCAGGAAGCCTCTACAGAGACAGGGCACAATCAAGCAGCATCAGGGGTGCCATCTAGCTCCTCTCCTGAGAACTGCACACACAGCATCTCAGCACCAGGGCACCAGAGCTTTGAACTGTGTACGTTATGTGCTCTTACTCTCCATACATTTTGTGCATCTGAGAACAAGATGTGTCCATAGGTATTAGAGAAGCCTAGGAAGGTTGCTTTTTGAGTCTGGAAACATGCAACCAATTGTCCATATAAATTAATGTTAATGGCTTCTATGCCTTCTGCCGTTTGTGGCTAAGGTTCTTAGGGGTGATGTACTTTCAGATAGCAGGGGGAACATGTGCTAAGGATTGGACGATGGATGTGTGCAAAGACAGGGACCTGGTGAGCTGCAGAAACCAGCTGGGCTCTCGGGGCTTTGAGACACAGTGAGTGCTCTACCCTGTGACCAGGAGGGGTGCTGTGGGACTGTCTTGTGCTTCCTACAAAGCTGCTTAGCGAGGACCATTCAGTCAAGGGCACCTGACCCGGGGACTGAGCCCTGTGCTCCTGGTGGGGACTCAGCAGTTGCGTCCTCTCTGGCCTGGCAGAGTCCCCTGAGGAGGGACCTGTGTGTTGTTTCAGCAGGTGCTTCCTCCCAGGGATCTCCCCAGGGGTGAAGCCAACCTCCATCCTCCTCAGTGTGTGGTGTCTGGCCGGTTCTGGCATCAGGGCCGAGGGAGGGGCTGGGCAGTCACCAGATGTGCCTCATTTGCATGGACGGCCCTCCTCTGGCAGAGAGTGGAGGAGAAAAGGAGGCCTCGGGCAGCCCTGCCAGCTGTGGGGACCAGGATCTGTATCACCAAGGCCTGGACTCCTGTCCTCCTCATGCTCCTCTCCCATTGTGCAGGTGGGGAAAGGCCTCACGGAAACTGGGCAACCCTCAAAATCACTCCTCCTGAAGTCGGAATCTTGAGAAATTTCTCCCTGTTTCTTTGCAGGTTCCCTGTCCCAGCCTGTTGTGACTCAGCCAGCCTCCCTCTCTGCATCTCTGGGAGCCACAGCCAGACTCACCTGCACCCTGAGCAGGGACATCACTGTTGGAGGCTATAACATATACTGGTTCCAGCAGATGGCAGGGAGCCCTCCCCGGTATCTTCTGTACTACTACTCAGACTCAGATAAGCACCAGGGCCCCGGGGTCCCCAGCCGCTTCTCTGGGTCCAAAGATGCCTCGGCCAATGCGGGGCTTCTGCTCATCGCTGGGCTGCAGCCTGAGGACGAGGCTGACTATTACTGTGCTACATATCATGGCAGTGTTACTCACAGTGACTCAGATAACGAGGAAGTGAGATTAAAAACCTCTGGGTTCACAGATTTTGTCTCCAAGCCTCTTTTATTGAGAAGCTTCTGTGGAGGATCCTATAGGGGAGAGTCCTCTGTGGTGAGACCTGTCCTTGACGAGGTTGAAGTGACACACAAGAAATTTAATAGTGAACATATGGGAATCAACATAGACCTAGAAAGTCAAAAGACACGCGGGCAAAATGAGATCTATGTTTTTCTGAATTACATGGAAGGAGGTAGGGGTCTAGTGTTCAATGCAAAGAAATGCACTTCACAGACAGAAGAAGAAGAGTAGAGTAGATGTTTCATATACAATGTGTGCAGGGCCCCTGGGAAACGATGGGACACAGAGGACTGTGACCAAACAGGCTTTGCTGGGTCCCCGTCTGCCCCACCTCGTTCATATCCTAGTGCAGTTGTCTGTGGTGCCAGCTGTCTTCCTGGGGCAGCTGCCCCCCCGAATGTTTCAGTCACTTGAAGAGACATGAAGAGCTTTTCCTGAGTGTATGGGCATCGACTGCTTTTTAACTCATGATAACCTTCATGTCAGTGTGGCCCATCCAGGCGAGGCCTGCCTTGTGCCCTGCAGTTCTGGTAAAAAGTTGCTAAGGCCAAGGTCAAAAGGTTGCTGCCTGTGTTCTCCTCTAGGATTTTGATGGTTTCCCATCTCACATTTAGGCCTTGCATCCATTTTGATTTTATTTTTGTATAGAAAAATAAGTGTAAGAAAGTGGTCCAGTTCTATTCTTCCGCATGTTTCTGTCCAGTTTACCCCATGCCATTTGTTGAAAAGACTGTCTTTTTTCCATTGGATATTCTTTCCTGCTTTGTCGGACATGAACTGGCCATGTATTTGGGTTTTCTATTCTGTTCCATTGATCTCTGTGCCTGTCCTGTGCCAGTACCATACTGTCCTGATGACTCCAGCTCTGTAATCCAGCTTGAAGTCCGGAATCGGAGTCTCTTTAAATAGATGCTATATTATATTCACAGGCTATAAAACACAGACCGTGCTAAATATTTAATGTTACCGAGCTTTTGTGACTCCAGCGTGGCTTTGAGGCCGGTGACCTCAGTGTGATCTCCCTGTTTGCCTGGGTGACAGTCCCATGTTGCTGGACATGTGATGCCGCTGTTCCTGTCCTCATTTCCAGCAGCTTCCTTTCTTCAATGAATGCAGTTTTGTTCCCTCTGTTCCTTTCTACACTGATGTTTAATTTGGTATCTGTTCAGACTCTGGTCACTTCATTCAATACTTGTTTCATCCTATGTAGTTCAAGGTTTATTTTCTCATTTTCTGTTCTGAGGATGGAAATTCATAGCCTGAGGTCCACTCAATCACCTCCTTGTGTCCCACGTGGGGACACACCCTTCCATGTCCTGTGCTGTGCCACAGCTGTCCCTTCAGTGTCCCCAACCAGCTCTCCCTGTCACAAATTCTGTCCTAGGACTTCCCACAGAGCAAAATCTCTAATGAGCAGCGCTGACGGCAGGCAAAGCCTGGATAAAAAGTCTCTGGAACATGGAGGGGAGATCACATGATGGCTCCATAGAGGTCCCTGCTGGATGCTCAGGCCCTGCTCTGTCCTCACACCTGCAAAAGCCTCATCTGAATTTGCTGAGTCCCGTCTGCGCTGCTCCAGATGGGCCTCACATCCTCACACTCTGTGTCCTCCTCTGTGAAGGTGTGTGTCCCTAGGCGAGCTCCTGTTCACACTCTACTCCCAGAGGCAGCTTGCCTCCTCTGAGCCTGTCACGGGGACAGATCCCTTCTGCTGTCTGCTCCCTTTGTCCTTTCTTCAGCTCCACAGTGGTTCACAGGCTCCCCTTGGTCAGGTCTGATCACGTCCCTCCCGCTAGTCTCCTGTCCACAGAGGAAGCCCAGTCGGGGAAGGCTCACCAGGACGGCACTTCCATCCTTCCCTGGAAGATCACTCTCATCCGGTAGAAATACAGTCATCAGGGAAGTGGATGAAGGAGGGGTTTGGGGGGAGCAGGTAAAAAGGAGAGGTTTGCCCAGAGAACCGCGGGAGGTGCTGGGAGATGGTGTCTAGAGGTTTCTGCAGGCCACGTGCTCCCAGCTGGGCAGCCCTCCACTGACGGTAGGCCCAAAGACTGGGCTTTTTACTTTCCGTGGGGACTGGGAAAGACTGTTCTCTCTGGGCCTGGCAGAGTCCCCTGCACAGGGGCCTGTGTGTAGTCCCAGGAACTGCTTCCTCCGGGCCCACTCATGGGGGAAACAGCTGCATAAGGCAGGCTCCCTTTCCAAGGGCTTCAGACATGGTGAAGGCACATGGGGGAGAGGCAGGGGTGGTCTCAGTTGCATGTGAAGCCTCTCTGAGAAGGCCACAGGTAGCAGATAAGAGAGGCCTGGGACAGCCCAGTCCCAGCCCTGTGGCCTAATAAGGGTCTGTGTCATTATGGCCTGGACCCATGTCCCCCTTATGCTCCTCTGTCACTGCGCAGGTAAGGACAGACCTCAGCACTCTAGGGTTGGCCTCCAGTCTGAGTCAGAATCCTCTGGCTCACATCCTCCAGTGTCTATACTCTGTCCCTTCTCCTCATTCTGATGTGTCTGTGTTTATACTTCCCTGTCCCAGCCTGTGCTGACCCAGCTGCTCTCCCTCTCCGCATCTCCAGGAACAATTGCCAGACTCACATGAACCCTGAGCAGGGACAGGAGTGTTGGTGGTTATAACATCGTCTGGTACCAGCAGGAGGCAGGGAGCCCTCTCCGGTCTTTCTGTTCTACTACTCAGACTCATACAAGCAGCTGGGACCTGGGGTCTCCACTCATATCTCTGGATCCAAAGATGTCTCCACTAATACAGAAATTTTGCCCATGTCTGGGCTGCAGCTTGAGGACGAGGCTGACTATTACTGTGCTACAGCTCACGGCAGTGGGAATGGCTATCGTTACTCACAGCGTCTCAGATAAGGAGGAAGTGATGTAAGACCCCTGGATCCACAGACCTCAGCTTCAGCCTCTTTTCATTGAGAAACTTACGTGGAGGCACAAGCAGGGGTTACATAACTTCAGGAAGATCTGTCCTTGAACAGAGGAAAGAGACATACCCAGGTTATGCCTGCAACGCGGGACAGCACAGGGCATCCCAGGAAGACACCGACATTGACGTAACACAGCCCAACTTCACGTCCCCATGGGGTCTGGATGATAAACAGGAATAAATACTGCATCTGTAACTGAACGTGCTACCCAGCAAACATTCATCCACACATCAGTTCCACCATCTCATTCCATAAAGTGTGACCTTGTGTCACTACTGATGCATCCACAGCTGACATATTGACAATAACCCTGGTCATAGACACAGTCTCCTCTCTCTGAATCAGCTACACTTGAACTTGGACCAGACTCTACAGACTCTTCCTGATAACACTCCCCACACCCTCCTTTCTTTTCTCCTCTCTGCTCCCTCATCTCTCAGGCTTAGGCCTTCAGTCTCTCCATCTGGCTCTTCAGGTAGGAACTCCGTCTCCATGTTAGGATTTCAGAGGGAACTGGAAATGATCTTGCTGTAGTTTTCAGTCTCCAGGGCCCAACTCCAGGGAGGAGAATGACCAGAAGACAGAGCTGTGTGAATCCCCTCATATTCTCCTTCCTGCTTCTGTCACTTGACAAGGCCCGGACTTCTGATTGAGGGAAGCGTTAAAAGGTCTGCTCTCAAAGGAGCCACAATTGCCTAATAAATCCTCCTCCAGTAGAAATGGCTTTAAGACACTGACTTTTAAATGAAAAATCCTGGGCCCTCAGATGGAGAGCCATCCCTCAGTGTGTGGAGAAGCCTTAAGAGGATTTAAGGGCAACTTGGCCTCATTTTTGGTCACATATGCGCGTGCACGCGCCCACGTACAAACACACACACACACGCGCGCGCGTGCACACACACACAGAACTCCCTCCTGAATGTATATTGTCCTGGACTCTGCAATTTCTGGGCTTCTTTGTCTCTCCAGAAGTCATGGTCAACCTGAGCTCACCCAGCCATTCTCAGTAAAACAGCCTCCAGGAGGCAGAACCTCAACCAGCATGAAACCCAGTGACATCGAGTGTAACTGAGGTCCTGTCACCAGGGCAGGATGTGCCCTGATCATCTGCTTCCTGGGACAAGTTTATGCTCAGGAATCCCAGGGCAAGTCTCTGTCCATTGGGCAGTTCACCCCCCAACCATCTCTGGGCTCCAGTCACTGCCTGAGGCTGATCAGTAGATTGATTCTGAGACAGCAGAGTCAGTGCTGCTCCCATGGAGCTCAAGGCTCATGAGGACATAACACAGGCCCTCCCTGTGCTCTCGGGGCTGGCGTCACTCCCCCAGACACTCCAGTGAACCTCCAGCCAGAATGGACCCGTACTAAAAAGTCTGTCCCAACTGAGGGCCACAGGGACTGTGACTTCAGGGACACAGTGCTCCTTATCTCCACCTCACCTGGAGTCACATGTGGGATCTTCGAAAGAATTTTCTGGGCCAAATTGGTCTTGGGTAATAGAAATTCATTCCTCTAGTCACTGGCGAGTGAGTGAGTAATTACTCTATTCTGAACTTGCTGGACACAAGATACAGTGACTATTGTTCTACCCACCCCTGAGATGAGTCTGACCCCTAAGCATCCATCCTGGAAGCTCTGTGTGTTAATTCCATCATTGAGGTGGGTCTGAAGTTCACAGGAACTAGCTGTTCATGGTGTTTACCTGGGCACTGCGTTGGGCTTTCTTACTACTTGCAGGACAAGACCTAGTGTACAAAACTCACAATTAAAATAATAATAATAAAAATAATAATAAGTGAAATGATTTAGAAACAAGTTTACAGACCTCTATTCAACCAAGAACCAAAAGTCATATCATTTCATTATTTTTTCATCCATCTTTTTTCAACTACTATTTCAGTCCATATTGTCTCAGCAATAAGCACGAATCTGTGAAAATACACTGGTGATTAAATACCTGCATCTTCCCGTTGACAGTGTTGTTGAGTTTAA